GGTGAGATTACCGATGCGTTCAGAAAATATCGAGCCTTGCTTAACGGAAATATATCATTATCATTCAATTTAACAATGGTCAATCGTAAGAACTGATGTATGTCATTTTCGGAAGGATTTTCTTTGGTCCTATAAGAAATCCACCACTTCATCAGTGCCACAGTTTCTTCTATGGTCAATGCTCGGCTCTGTAGCTCCATAAATACATCGTTGATTTTAATTTCCTCCATTATTTTCAAATTCTCTTTTGCTTTTTTAATAAAGACGTCACATTGTTCCATGATAATCTTCGGAACAACTGGTACCGTTTTAATAAAAGCCTCCATCTCGGGGTTAGGTAACCGCACCAAATCGGCCGGTTGTACCCCGCGAGTCGACAAGATAGAGATTGGCTTTGCGGAGCAGTTATAAAATTGAGACTCTGCAATCCTTCCAACATGCACACTCGGCGTACTAGGTTTGTATGTAAAATGTTTGAGTGCGTGCGCTGCCTTTCTTTCAAAATACTCACGACCAGATTTTATTGCCTCATCTTCAGAATTTATTGATGATCCAACAATTTCTTTGTATAACTTAGATATCTGTGCCATTTCATCTTCATATAAAATACGACAAAGTATTCCAACAAGGCAAAGCATCTCGTTATTATATACGGCAAGAGTCTTGTCAACTAGATCAATCGATTCACGCTCAACCTAATAGTTTAACAAAAGCTATTAGCAAGACGCTTAATCCTGGTAAGCACACATGATAATCCATATTAGACCAAACATTTACCGTTGGAATTAGGCGAGCTGCTAGATGGGAACTACAGCCAGTAGTTTGATGTGTTGGAAACCCAATAAAAATCCGACCTTGTTCAGGATAGGGAAGTAAATTTTTAAAGATTTCGGAAACCTTTTCATCTCGATCGGAAGAATATGAATGTTCATCATAACCAGTAAACATAATGTGAATGGAAGTTGTATTGGGAGGCTTCTTTTTCGTTGTTCTCTCCATTTCATTCGAAAACGCTTTTGGTACTCGAACGTCTAAATGGCCACTAGCAACTCGAAGATATATTGATGTTTCCTCTTTTGGATATTCGGCCAAAGTCGCCTTTGATCTCATAAACTTTTTTGATATCAGTATCCTTTCAACATCCAACTGTACTTGCCGGACATCAACGGTCTTAAGGAGAAACATTTTTTGTGGAGAATTTATATTTAAACCAGAGGTAATATTCATAGGTCGTGGATCTGACATTTTCTTTGAGATGTGTATTACGCGCTTCTCATTAAAATACACGGATATCTCGCGTAGATTTCCCGTAAATCCCTATTAAAACAAAACCTATAGTATCAACATATATGGTAATCATTACCATTAAACAAAAAAAAAATTAAAGAGTTACCAAGGAAGTTGCCAAAAACCGGCCAAAATCTTCAGCATTCGGAAACTAATGTATAAATAAACCATCAGGAATCGCTTTAACAAAATCAATAAAATATGTATCACATACCTCCGAGTGTTCTCGCATATCCATAAGAAAAATGGTCCACGTCTTATCTGTTTGGTCAATTGAGGCACGTTTGGCAAACAATTGATCCCCTTTCCAATAAAAAGCCATCCCCTGACCTCCTGAAGAGACGCTAAAATGATAAATTGTTTTAGCGCAAGGTTCATTAACTAACCTGAATCCAATTATTGTCAAGTATACACTTACAATGGCTCTTCACATACTGAAAACAGTGAATAGAATCCAACCCCAAAAGCCCCAATCTATTGGCGATATAACACGTTTTTCTTAAATTAATAAAGTAATAATAATAAAATACAGAAAACCCGATAAATCAATTAAACCTTTTGCTCGTCAGGATTTCCTTCTGCAATTTTCTTCAGTCGATTCCAATCTTCCGGTCGAAACTCGAATCCATTGTTTTTAAACAGTATCCGCACACATTTATCCTTTAATATGTTGGGTTCTGTGGCACTACTGCTTTTTTGAGTTTCAAAAATTATTTGTACGCTAGAAGACTTCGCATCATCTTTAAAACGATTGTATTGGTAAACTTTTATGCTGTAACCGTGCAATCAATAGTAAAATTTCGAACAAACAAACCTGCGTTTTGCATCAGTTCTCTGAATACTACAAATTCGGCGGAGTACCTATAGGAGAATTTTAAAAACGTGATTTAGTTTGATGATATACTAATTGATGGAAAAAGGCATCATATTTTTTAATAATTAAGATGTATCTATTTAGGTGTTTTGTAAAATCAAAACATATAGTTATTTTTATCTTTTGAAAGTAGACTCTTTGAGTAACCATTAAACTAACCTTGCCAAAATTTTGTCAATTAAATGTCTTTGGTTAACTTCAACTTTTTCTTCACCGTCGGTATTTAACAATACTTGTCTCCTTAAATCATCCATATTTCTAGAAAACGCAAAAGTGCAAAAAAAAATATAAAAAAATATGTGTACAACGCCGAGAATTTTTAGTTCAATTCGATTTTAAATGCTGTATGCGTATTTATATTTCCGATGTCAAAACAGATCTGTTGTACAATCCTAATATACGTCATCAACATTACGTTTTAAAAGTTTAGCATTTGACTGTTGTTCTCGAATTAGCTAGATAGAATCGACATGATTATTCATCTCCCGACTATTCAAAGTATTTGCTTTTCTAAATATATTTCACAAAGAATTGTTATATATTGACTATTCCGAGGTGACTAAATATACAAATATAAAAGGTTAGCATGCAATGCAGAAATTGAACTCACGAGCAACGTGAGAAAACAGTAATTTTCCGTTACACGCTTAAGTCATTTTTTTCAAGTACAAGCATGTGGTCATCTTTTTAATAATATGCATTTAGTAAATAAAAATCTTTTTTTTTAACAAAAATTAAATACAACTCTTTTATTGATATATAATAATATTAAAAAAAACTGACATTAATTCAAATTCTTTATTAATGTAAACAAGAATATGTTTTTTAATAATATATATATAGTATATACAGTGGTATTTGAAATTTTTTGAAATATATTTAACTTAATAAAAACTTATTTAAATTAAATTTAAATTTAAATATAATACTTTAATACTATAAAATTATTTTAAATTTTTTTTTTTTTTTTAACATGACTGGCATATATTTTGTTTATTAAATATTAAGTTTGTAGAACTACAAATTCATTTTATCTAAATTTTTTTCTATATCTATTTACTAAACTATCTAAGACTAATGTTTACCAGCCAGTTTGTTGCTTCTCATTTTTCCTATTTTACCAACATCAATGCAAGCATTAATCCTAATAAAATTGGTGAAGTGCTAATGTATCAAGATATATATCTTTAAGTTTTACCTATTATCTAATAAATAGAAATTTAAAAATAGGGCTCCAAAAAATATCAAATTAATATCAAAGTGGTATTGAAATAGTACTAATCTATAGTAAATTTAATATATGGAATATACCTACTCATATGAATTTATAGTAAGTTTAAGTATCGAACTGGTATCAAACTAATATCAAAGTGATACTATTAGAAATCCTATTTAAAAGATCAAATCTAAATATAGTTAATCATAAGCTAGTTATATTCAATAAAAAATTTATTAACTTTAATTAGCTTAAAAAAAATAAATTTTAAAAAGAAAACCTATAGAAAAAAAAAAGTTTTTTCTTTTTGAAGTTAAATTAGAAATGAATAAAAGAAGGAAACAGAAGAAATAAAACAAGAGAAATCTGTTTTAAGAGAAAGAAAATAACTACAAATACTACTTCTATTAAATGGAACTAAAACAAACACCTTTTTAAAAAATTTAATTGCATACCAAAAAGAAAACTACTAAAACCTGTTTGTATATAATTATTATATTCCATAAAAATATAAGATTTATCTATACTCCTTATACCTTCTTGCAGATTATTGTCTATTTGAAAAATCTTTAATTAGGATTGGCTATTTACTTTCTAATTCAAATAATGTGTCACTATTGTTATCCATTATAGTCAAATGAAGTTTAATTGCAAGGTATTATTTCTTCAAACCTAAGAAATTAATACTGCGCCATAGTCAAAGTTAATAAGAAAGAAGTGAAAAATATTTTGATTCTTATAATATATTATCTATTTAAAAAGTTATGTTTCTATTCTTTACTTGATTGTTATATTATTAGTTTATATTTTCTAGTTGTATAAAAAATATCACCTGATTTTTTGATCATTAAAAGACAAATACAAAAATCCTAATAATATTTTCAACTTGTCATTTAAGGCATTTGTTTAAGAATAAAAAAAGCTGTTTTTGATCTTTATACCTTTTTTTATCAGCAGGAACTATATCTCTAAAGAGAGTATAATATTGTATTGCTAATTTAAAAATATTAAAGTGTGTTTCATTGTAGAAGACTTTTTTTTTTCATTTTAAAAAAGAGTACTTTCAAATAAAGAAATTTTTAAGGAAAGTATAATGAACGGAAAAAAGTTTTTTTTTTTTTGATAAAATTACTTTAAATTATAACTAATTTATGATATATTATTATTGTTTATTTATTTTTTTTTGAAAAAACAAAATAGTTATTATAGCTTTTGAATTTTATTATAATTTTAAACTTATAAAACAAAATTATAATTTTATTAGAATAATATAAATCTTTCTTTATCAAAAAAAGCTTAATACAAGACTTAATAATTAATTTATTGATTTACTGTAAATAGAAAAGAAAAAACTATTTATTGAAGAAGTTTGAGACAAGAAAAAGGAAGGCTTTGAAGAGGATCAACCTTTTCTGTAGTAAGGCTCTATATACATTTGGTAATTACAAGCTAAAGAGCAATTTTCTTTTTTTCCCTCTTTCCTTTTTTTCAATTACCTTTCCTAACATATTATCAAGAACCCATTAGACAGACTTACCATTTTCACAATATTCAGATCAAGTAATTATAATTTATTACTTAGTATTAGAAATATCTATAGAAATTTTATAATCAACACATTCAAAGCATTTTCCAAATCTGCAAGTATCTATAAGTTTACTATCTAAAATCTTATACTACTCAATACAAATGCCTATACATTTAATTGAAATGGAAATAACCAATACTCATTAAGAAAAACCTATTATACAAGAAATCATTATGCTAAATATATAAGAAATATGAGAAGTGACAATAACAGATACTACAAAAATACAAAAAAATAAGATGTTAATGGATATATATAAAGACATTAGAAATATTATTGACTATTAAATAAGAAACAGAACCATATAACTAAAGATAGGTCCCTAAATTATTTAGCATATAAAATTTCACAGATTAATTATGTTTCTTTTGAAGAAATATAATTATTTATTTATTATTTTAATAGGAATATAATTCAAAAAACATTTGAATTAAGTAGCCTAAATTGCAAAAAACCTTTGTAGGTAGTTTTTTTTGATCTTATATTTAAAAAAAAACTTTTTTAATAGTAAGAAACATTTAAATTATGTCCTCACCTTTAATTTAGAGATTTATCTTTATATATAATCTATTAATCTCTTTTTTATAATAAAAAAAGGAATATTTATGGCAAGTATCTTAATAAAAAATACAATAGGTAAAAACAAGAAAAAACAGATTAATTATCTAATATATATCTTTTGACTATCGAAAACAGAGAGTGATCTTATTAAGACTAACTTCATTAAAGAAAACTATTGGTATATGATTTGCTTTAAGTTATAATTTGATCTCATAGGTTATATAGAAAAGATATTCAATAAAAAAAATGACAACTTCAAGATTCTATATATTAAAGGAGGCTCAAAAGAAAAAAACAATAAAAAAAGAAATAATATTACAACAAAACAAATACAAAACAATATAACAAATACCTTTTTTATTAATTTTACAAAAGTTTAAAAAAACAATTCTAACTATTTTGATCAAGTCTTTTAATATATATAACTTAAGTAATGAAACTTTACCCTATAGTATTGACATATTAATAAAAACCTTTTCTGAAAATAACAGAAAAGAACAACTAGACATAATCATAAAAACTTTTATAATTCTAATTGAAAGTACATATATAAATATAGAACATATCAATGAAAATAGATAGTTTACTAATTATTTTAAGAAAAAAATAAATAAAAAACTATGTATTAATAAATTAAATGAAAAAAGCAAAAAGTTTATAATCAAAAATCTTAAAATAATCAAACTTGAAGAGCTTACATCCAATAAAAAACACAATAAAGTTATATAGCAGGTATACAATTAAAGATAGGTCTCTAAATTTAAGATAAAAACATAATTCAAATGTTCCTTACTATTAAAAAAATTTTTTTTAAATATAAGATCAATAAAAAACTACCTATAAAGATTTTTTGCAATTTAGGTCACTTGATTCAAATGTTTTTTGAATTGTTCCTATTAAAATAATAAATAAATAATTATGTCTCTTTAAAAGGATCATAATTGATCTGCAAAATTTTATATACTAAATAATTTAAGGATCCATCTTTATATACAACATTTCTATTAATAAAGATAGATTTCTAAATTATTTGTAAGGACATAATTTGAATGTCCCTTATTATTAAAAATTTTTATTTCTATATTAAGAAATAAAAAAAAATTACCTACAAAGATTCTTTATAGTTTTAAGTATCTATATAAATCATTTCTGGAATTATATCCCTATTGAAATAAAGAGCTAGGAATTATGTCCTCTAGGGAATGTGAATATAAAGGGATGTAAATTTTATATGCTAAATACTTTAGGAACCCATCTTTACCTATTAGGAATAACTTTTAATTAAATCACAAAGAAAAAGACAAGAAAATAATCATAGATAAAACAAATACATACAATCCTGAAACATATGGCCTTAAAACAATAGTTAAAATTCTAGATATTTTATGTAACTTTATTATACAGAATAAAAGAAGCCATAAAAAACTACAGCACAATTATACAAATCAATATACAAATAGATAAGTAAGAACATTACAAAATAGTAATAGTTACACTTGAAAATATCAAAATAGATCTAAAAGAAATATGGGCAATATCAATAAGTAAAGCAATGGCAAGAATTATATCATATCAAGATTTTGAAAAAACATTTACACAAAGAAACAAAATCATTGCAAGACTTATAATATCCAAGAAAACACATCAGTCACAAGAATAATGAGTGCAGTTAAATATATTAAAGCAAAAACTATACATATATTCTTAAATAATAAAACAGAAAAAAAAAGGAGATTTGCAATCATAGGGTTCAAAAACAGCCAAAGCCTTAATTAAGCAATAATAAAACATATATTCCTTTTTGGAAATCAAATATGGTAAAGCATCAAAGATAATTCAAAGACTTTAAAAACATTATATGGAAAAACTTTGAACAACTGAAACTATCA